CCGGTTCTGCGGTTTGCCAGCTTTTGTCCACCCCTCCTGCTCAAGTCAAGATATGACCAGCAGATGCTTGACAGCTCAGGTGATTTGTTCGGAATTGGCAGATGCTCCAGAAATTACGCTTGCTCTCAATTGACTTTGCTGGCAATGCTCCCCCAAGACTTAAAACTGACACAACTACACAAAGGAGAGCCTTCAAGTTTGTCAAACATATTGACAACATTCTCACAGATGATAGATTGCAACAGTAATAAGACCATACAGGGCCTTAGCGTGACATTTTGCCATGGCTGCCACATCAGCGGACGCCTCACATTTAGCTCTCCCTGTGCGGACGGCATGGCAGCAGTCGGTGGAAGAAGTCATCAGAAAGATGAGAGGCTGGGGCTGGGACGGCTGGGATCCAGTGGAGAAGGAGAAGATGAAGGATGAGTTTCTGAGAAAGGCCAAACATTGACCCGTTCACTTGATTGAGCGTGTGAAGTTCGTGGAAAAGGCTGGTGACATCACTTTCACCCTGATCTATGAAGGAGACAGACTGAGTTCCCAAGAAGAACGCTGGGCGCAACAGATGTTAAAAGTTCAGCAAAGGATGATTGCACTTCAGGAACAAAGTATTCCTGCCATTGGTGAAGCAGATGCCCACATGTCGCTGGAAAGTGCACAGCTTTGTGGAGCGAACTTGCACAGGCAGATTCTTCGAGGAGTCAGATTTCTAGGTGCCGATTTGGATGCTGCCAACCTGGAAGGCTGTCAATTGCAGGGTGCGCAGCTCCAACATTCGCAGCTACGATGGGCATTTGTCGAGGACGCCGGACTTCAATCTGCCCACCTCCACGCGGCTCAATTGCAACATGCTTGGCTCTATGGGGTGCAGCTTCACAAGGCCAACCTGGCTGAAGCCCAGCTGCAGAGCGCCAACCTGGACCATGCGCAGTTGCAGGAGGCCAGCCTTCTGAGAGCGAAACTTCAAGCAGCGAATCTCTTCGAGGCAAATCTCAGTGATGTGAACTTTGACGAAGCTGTCATCACCACAGCAACTTTGAAGGATTGTAAGTGGCACAAACCGCCAATCCACGTGGATAAGGCGAATTGTCAACCTTTGGCATTGCCAAGATGTCAGAGGAAAGCTGCACAACGGCAGCAACAGTTCATCCTGAAGATCCTCCTCAAGAGGATGATACACGGTGAGGATGAAGATGACGATGGCGCAGATGAAGATGAAGATAGCCAGGACGAGGATGAAGATGCTCAGGAAGAAGTTCAGGACAACCCAATGCTGGATTGCGTGACACCGTTGCTTTGTTGCCAAAGATGGCAAAGTGCAGTGAACGACGTCCAAGACACTGCCGTCGAAGCTCTGGAGATCAAGGTTGGAGAAGTCGCTGATCGAAGTGAGCAGAAGCTCCAGGAGTTGGCTTCCCAAGGTGCCAAGAAGTTGGGGAAGTTGGTGCAAGACTTAGATTCAGTAGCAAAGGCAAAGGCCAAAGCTTTGTTGAGTGTATTGGAACATCTTGAAAGCGACAGAGGTAGGGCTTTGCGATCGCAACCAAAAGTGCAAGCTGCACTGCAGGACGCATTGAAACAGCTGGCACGGACCCGAAAGGGGCAACGCTTTCAGAATGACTTCGACAACCTCGATAAACAATTAAAACAAATTCGAGATCAAGGTGCAGGAAGAATGTTGAGAAGATTGGCGGATTCAAAGTTTGCATGTTTGACAGGCTACACCGCAGCAACTTGTTTGGCCTGCTTAAAGGTTTCTCCTCGAGAGATGGCAAAGCATCAAAAGGAACTGAACATTTTAGCAACCTACATTGGAAAGCTCCAGGAAACAGTGAACAAGAACAATTGGGATGAAGTGATTGACAACTTTCTTTGCTTGTACGAACTGCGGGACACACTCAGCGGAGAACGCGCCCAACAAGTGTTTCAAGCTCTTTGGACAGACCACCAGTTGCGGAGATGCGTGGCCGTTGGACTCGTCTTCCGTGAGATGCAGGATCCGTCGAACCCACCACCCGGCCTCATCCATTGCATCAAAAAGGCTGTGAAGCTCGTGAAGGACAACGCAGTAGCCTGGGATATTGCCATCAGTAACGAGATTGCATGCATTGATAGGATGAAAGCCAAACAAGACAATATTTTTGCACTCATGATTTCGGCCATCTCGGGCTTCTTTGTCTTCATTGCCACCTTCTTCTCTGGTCTTGCGCTTGATGCCCTCAAAGAAGGGCGTATGGTCGTGCCCTACGTGTCAAGTTTGGTTGCAGAAGAGGCCTAGTGGCTTTGATGACTCTGTTTGATACATCCTCGAGAAACATTGGGATTATCGTGTGCGCGCCATTGAGGCTTTCAGGAGTGTTTCACCTGCTTGGGGGCGAAAATGTGGTTGTTTCCGTCTATATGGGCGATATGTTTTTGAGTAATACATTTGCGATAAAACCCTAGAATCCAATCATGCAAGATGTTAAAAAGGATCTTTCGTAATTGTTGAAATATTTAGGCTCCGCGTATAACAACATATTTTAATAGAGGTAAAGAGAAAGAGAGATGGAGAGATAGGAGAAAAAAAAATAGCAAAAACACCTAGATATATATATATATATAAAGAATATAAATATTTATAATAAATAACACATATTTAAATATGGCTTTAAATAATTAGATAAAATATGAAATGATGGAATTATATTTTTAAATTATATGTATGTTTTGGGAGCTTTTGGTTAGAATATATTAGAATATAAAAAGGATTTTTTATAATTATTGAAATATTTAGGCTCCGCATATAACAACATATTATAATAGAGGTAAAGAGAAAGAGAGGATGAAGAGATAGGAGAAGAAAAAAATACCAAAACATATAGATATATATATATAAAGAATGTAAATAATTATAATACATACTATATATTTAAATATGGTTTGAAAAAATTAAATAAAATATGGAATGATGAAATTATATTTTTTTTAAATTATATATATATTTTGGGAAGTTTTGGTTAGAATATAATAGAACAAATTATATTGAAAAAAAAAAAATTGTGGAAATTATGATTTGGATGATTGTTTTTAATGATATATTTTGTTTTTGTGTTAATTTTTAAATATTTGAGGAATTGGATTTAATTATTTTTAATTGTGTGTATGAATTCTATTTATATTGATTTAAAAAAATATGGTATATTTTAATATAATTTATTGAGAAATTATATAGTTATTTTTGTGTGATTGATATGATATGACATATATGTGTATATGAATGATAATTTGATTTAAAAAAATTGGATAAAATTATAATATAAATACATATTTGTTTAATTGTATTTTATATATATTTAATATTTGATTATATTTATATTTTTTAAATTGTTTTGACTTTATATATTGATGGAATTATAATAGATGATTTGATTTTTTATTTATTGATATGAAATTAGAGATGGATATATTTGTTATAAATATTGAGAATATATTTTTTTTATGGTTTAAATATATATAAATATATATATTTATTTTATTTGTGGAGAATATAATATGTGTTCAAAAGATATTGGTTGGGGGGAATAGGAAAAGAAAAATGTTTTAATTGTTTAGAATTAATAATAAGGATAATTGAGAAGACAATATTGTATAGGGATGAGAAATAATTGAATATATATTTTAGTGGTTCGGGGGGTAGAAAATAATTATGAATTTTGGGGTTATATATATATTAATACTATATATTGAATTTATAATTCTGATTATTATATAAATAAGACATATTAAGGATTTGTTTTTTGAATTGATTATATATAATTGGATAGAATTTATTTAGGATACAATGATTTATAATTATATATGAGTGGATAGAATATATTTAAAATATATAATAGACAACATAATAAATTTAAATCTTCAATTATATATTAATATCATTTTGTCAAAAATAATAATATTAGTTTTCTTTATAGAATATATTATTATTAATATTGTTAATATTATAAATATAAGTTGTTAAAGAAAATAAAAATTAATTTATCCCAAATTAAATTTATATATTTCTCATAAAAATATATTTATATATTTATTAATTCTCTTAAAATAATATGTGTCTTAACACCCCAAATTATATTTTTCTTTTTAAAACATATTTTAGAATTTATTTTTACAAATTTTATATATATCGTTTTTTCTGCATTACCTTAACTGCTATTTTGAAGACAGGGTAAGGATTGTTTTTTGAATGTGATATTAATCTGATTTGTGATCGTATTGGAGTCTTAGGCATTGAATAAATTTTCGTGATATGGGAGATAATTGCATAACGTCAAAACATGGGCTTTGGTACAAGATGGGGAGGTCATGCATGCAATGCGTCTTTTAAAAAGAGGTCATGCATTTTTTGCGGGAGCATAATTGTTTCGCAAGGCATGATTCAGCCGCTAAGCAGGGCTGTGCTCGGATAGTGTAGCCAGCTGTGATAAGGCGTAGATCAGTGGCAAGCGGAGGGAGAAGCTAGAGGAGGAGAGGCCTAACGGGTTGCAACGGATCCGAACTGCAATGACAAGGTGCTCCTTCCCACTGGTATACCTTCAGCTGGAAAGAAATGTCTGCGGCGCGGAGCGCGTCCTTCCCTTGAACCCAAAGTTGACGGCGGGTTGCTGCATCTATGAAGACAATGGAATGTTTAAATGTATATATGTTGCGTAAAAATGATGATAGATGGCGATCTGTTGTTTGCATGATCATAATTGACGTGGTCGAAGAATAACTCGTATGATAGGAGCTTAGAGGTGTGCTTTACCACCCTTTAAAAGGCATATTTGGTAGGTTAGGCAACATTAGATTTGCAATTCAATAATCGACGTTCGAAGAATTTGAGAAGCTAACGAATACCCTAGTGGGCAATATTAATTTAGATCTGATAGCGAGGGCTAGGCACAACACAAATCTGTCTCTTGCTTGTTAAAATTGGGTAGGATTTGCTTTTTTGGGCCGGGTGGACCGTTAGTTAATAACAATGCCGGCTAACATATTGGTTAAATGCATATTGATGATGAAATCTTTGGGCTATATAAATAGCTCCCTAAATAGTACGAGCTTGATACACAACTATTAATCTCATAAAATGTTTCCGCTTTAATAGAAATTGTAATCCTTGTAATTTCTAGTTATCTAGGAAAAATGATATTTAATATTCAAAATATGTATAATAAATTATTGATAATATGTAAAAAAAAATAAACAAAATATAATATTGTTTTTTGTTTTCCATAATATTTTAATTTACAGAAAGGTATTAATTATTATTTTTATATTTATTTTTTAAGTTTCGGAATTATTTTTATTATTAAAATATATAAATATGTTATATTTAAATTTGGATATAAAGAAATTTGTGAAATATAATAAGAATCTTGTGAAACCCGATAAGAAATATAAAAATGTCTATAAAATGAAAATTTTGTAAAGATCGTATACGAATCTTTCAAGACCCCATAGGAATATTAGAAAGATCTATCCTATAAAAATCCCATGAAAATACAATAAATATTCCGAATAAAATTGTAAATAGCTACTGAATATTTATTAATATTGTATTATTTTATTTAATGAGTATATCTAATATCTATAATTGTTATTTTTTGAAGCTGTGATATAATGATTTTGTTTTGTTCTTTCCGAAATAGATTTATGGATGTATATTTATGCCCGTAGCTTGTTTTACAATAATTAGGTTATGTAAATAGTCAATTCTAATTTCTTAAGCTATTATATAGTAACTAAGTTATATTCCAAATATCAAATATATAAAGCATTTTTTTATAGATATATATATATATATGTATAATAAAGAATATTATTTATGTATTCTAAGTGGTTTTTGCCAAAAACACTTTAAACATCATTTTTATATCTATTATCGATAAAAAAACCTCAGAGTCGTTGATAAACAAGAATGGGGAATTTCCGATTCGAAAGCCGTAGGCTAGTGAGTATGCTAAATCTAAAACACCAAGAATTCTTCGTTTTCTAAGCCGACGCAAAACACAATTATGCCATAATTAGAATTTTAAGGCCAATATTTTCGATATGAAATTCTAATATATTGTTAAGATTTATAATATCATTATTAAAAGATTCTACGATATAATAATAATTATTATTATTTATACAAATATTATTTTTATAATACGGCATTCGTGTATATTTCCCAAAAATGGAAATATTCATCAAGAAACCAAATATTTAAAAACCTAAATCCAAATGGAAATGCTTGTAATGCTTGCTTACGCACTAGCACCTCCAAAAACACGCCCCGAGCAAAATTCGACCGTCCATTGAGCAGAAATACGCCCATGTTATCACCTTGATTTTCAATCCTAAGTTGCATGGCCCCTTGGACCCTACCGTTAAGATGCAAGCATGCGCCTATATCCGTCACCCGCGTAATCGCAAAAATGCGCCCGAAATGAGCAAGCTACTTCGATTGTAGCTTGAACAAATTTCGTGGCAAGCATAGACTTTCGCCAAGGGTTATATCCATGCTCTACGAGCTGGGGGATAGCAAGATGCAGAAACGTTGGCGCTGTGTGTGAATTTGGCGTCCGGATAATGCGCACACTCGGTTGTAATGCACGGGTTCGGAATGGGTCGGAGATTTGACTTTGGCACGGCCGCGCGAGGTTTTACAAGGTTTAAACGTGGCAGGCGTGCACTTTCGTAAGGTCAAGTAGAGATTTTGTGCCAGAATAGATTTTGCAAGATCAAATTTTGTTTTCGTGGCAGGCGTAGCACTTTCGCAAAATTAAATAAAGATTTCGTGGCAGGTGCAAATTTTCGCACTCGCAAGGTCAAGTATAGATTTCGTGGTAGGCATAATTTCGCAAAGTCAAGTATAGATTTCGTGATTGGCGTAGCATTTTCGTAAGGTTAAATACAAATTGCGTGGCAGGCGCAAGACTTTCATGAGGTTAAGTGTCGATTCCGTGGCGTAGCACTTTCATAAGGTCAAGTAGCGATTTCGCAGCAAACACAGCACTTTCATAAAATTAAATAGATTTTGTGGTGGGCATATCATTCGTAAGGTCAAGCACAGATTTCGTGACAGGCACGACACTTTCGCAAGGTCAAATATAGATTTTGTGGCACGCGCATCACTTTCGTAAGCTCAAAAATAGATTTCGTAGCAAGCAGCACTTTCGCAACATCAAATACAGATTTCGTGGCAGGAGCAGCACTTTCGCAAGGTTAAGTATCGACTTTGTGGCAAGAGATTTCGTGGCAGGCGCAGCACTTTCGTAAGGCGCTGTATCCACACTCTGCGAGCTGGGAGAGCAAAATGGAGAAGCCCGGTCGGAGACGAGTTTGGGACGGTATTAGAACGGTCTCGACAGACAGATAGAAAGATCGATATATTCAAGAAGAAAACCAGAAAGACAGGAAGGACAGAAAGAAAGATTGAGAGAAAGAGCGAAAGAGAGATACACGATAAATGCAGGAAACCGCAGGAAAACACAAATGTCGTTAATTGTTCAGTCTAAGGCACTTTGCAAAAATAACTATTTCTTGTTTATTTTGCATAACTTAAATGTAGTTATTTTCGCAACTTGGGCATTTACCACACCTCACACCTAACTACGCAACTTGTCACACTTTACTCAACCCCACAGTCAGTGAAACGCTTCAAAGGATAATGTTTTGTGTTATTATATTTGGGTAGAGGATCATAATCCAAAAGCATTATTAATGGTGTCCATATTATCCGTTTAAATACGACTCTTCATAAAAATAAAATAGAAAAAAATAAATAATAATAATAAATAAGCCAAATATATAAAAAACACACATACAAAAAAAGAAAAAAATATCCACCATAAAAAATTCGACAAATTTCAATTCAAACAAATACCCAAATTTCCACAAAAATTAACTTAACAATAAAATATTACAAAAAATAAACCAACATTTTTTAAATTCGACCAACATACCACTACAACAATTTACCAACACACAAAAAATACAATCTCTTCCAACCATACTAATTTATTAAAAAACATAATAATTCCAAAAATAATATATCAAATATTCAATTAAATTACCAATTTAAATTCAAATTAATCCATAATATTCTTTTTTTTTGTTTTTTATGTTTATGTATATAATTAATTATAATTTTATGTCAAATATTCTTTTATATATATATAAATAATTAATATATAATCATAATATAAAATTACAACATAATATCGTAATTTTAAATATCATTGTAGCTTTAAATAATAACAATAGATATTTTTTATTTTATTTTTTTGACATATTATATATATTATGTTTCTATCATTGTTTGTTGAATTTACATTCTTTGCCCATCAACATTGAATAGGACTTAACATCTGCGCATCCATTCTCAAGCCCATTGAGGGCATTCTCATTCCTGCACACAGAGCAATTTGACAATCCAAAAAAAGCTTATCACCATGTCAACAGTTGCACAGCTCTTCCCCCGTCCCTTCCATCCGTTTCATTCTGCTGCTTTCTCTCTTTCTCTCGCATTCTCTCCTTCCTGTCTTTCCCTCTCCCTGGGCTTCAGTGCCAAACAGCTGTGATTTCTGCCTCCTTGACACCATGGGAGCTGACGTAGATGCCGTCCAAGAACTTTCGGATATCCTTCTTCTTGCACAGGCAGGACCTAAAGGAAAAGCCATGCTGCCGCAGGGTAAACTGCTTCAGAAGTCAATCTAATCTCCATGAGCAACTCTACAAATACGCCGCGAGACTTGATCGCGACCCATGTTCTGGCTTACGCGGCAGGCAGCGAGCTTATGCGAACCTTACGTGTTGGCGTGGCGTTTTGAGCGCTTCCTCATGTTCAAGACAACGTGGATGACTCTGAGGAGGAAGTTGACGCGGATCAACTCGGCGCTGTTGTTGTTTTTTGGGTCTTCGCTTTGTAGAGCCCTATTCAGCGCTTTGGATCTGGCCGACAACTTTGTCTCCAGAGCTCATTTCAAGGAATCGGTTTGCAGCATGATGGCGTGGGCCAGCAAACAGCCGCGCCAGGCGAGCTTACACAACCTATGCCTCTGACATGCAACAACTTTTGCAAGCAGTGACGAAGCAAAGCTTGCGTTAAGCGCAGCATACTTTCGCCAGCTTATGCCGCGCACTGCCTTCCCATGACACAAGGTAGGCAAAGGGGGAGTTTTAGCGCTGCTCTATTCGCATTTTCCCAGGCCATGATAAAACTCGGGACTAGTTACGAAGTCAAAACTAGAGTAGGCGTTTTTGCCAAGGGGCTGATGGATCAGCGCCGAAGAGCGGCCGCAAAGCTCGATGTCGGTGCCGGACACCACAATCTCGTCCTAGCCCGTTTCATGAGTAACATGGCTGACATGCAGCAGGGCCTTGGATTCGCCTCAGCAAAGGCAGTGTGATGAAACCGTGCAGAGCGGCTCAACTCCCGGCAATGGTGGAAAATTCTTCTTCACACTTGCTACTTCGCATTCCTATTTGAAACCATGCCCGGACGTGCAGCGACCGGCCCAGGCTCCTTGGTGGAGGAGCTCTTCTCCACAGTCACACCAGGCAGCATGTGCACCTTGCAGTCAGTGTGCAGGCTCGGCAAACTTTTTAGAATGGGATTAAAGGGAAACTAACAGAACGACCAAAGCCATGTTTGGGTTGTGGCCAGGTGGCCTGAATGCGGCGCAACAAAGCGAAACAAAAATCAACCAAAACACTCAAACGGCCTTCCTCTAGCAAAGTTCAGAGCGCTCATGTGTTAACTCAAAACTTGTAGAGCTCAACATGCAACCTGCACAAGTTAATGTGCGCATTCCCATGCATCCGACATGCTACAAACCTCCGCAGTAGGCTTACGTGCTTTGAGCTAGATTGAGTAACAGAAAACCCTGCTGCAATGGGCAGCAGGACTGATGCTCCGACTTGCAAAGGAAATCAGTATTCACGCATCTTGGACAACCGGCTTTCAGATTGCACATTCAGTGACTCATTCATTACCCATCCTAGCCCCGTATAGGATTTTCATCAGCACAGCAGCCATCGCCTAGGACGCCTGGCTGCTCTGCGATTACGTCTGCGTCGGACATTGGTGACGGTTGCCCAAACAACTTGTCAACCTTCGGATTGATGGGGTTCTCATCAAATTCCGGCTTACTTTCATCCAGAAATGGCGTCTCAGCCTTCACAAACTTTCTAGCGCTTGCTCCTTGTACCTCTCAACACATGCTTCCATAAAGCACGCCTTGTTACACTTGATTATGTTGACTCAAGCAGGGTCGAATTTTTACCTCATCTGCTCGAAATCGCTTCTCCCCGAAACGAACATCACGCACCTCTTTCGACGGCGGATGATCGACAGTCCAGGCAGTGCGAGGATCGAAGAAACCCTGCACATCTGCCGCAGCGAATTCGTGCTTGCAACCCAGGTATCGCTTCAGAGTACCGGGCGGCTCCATTGCAATGAGATCCCATCCAATGGAGAGATAGGCCACTCATTTTGAAGTCATCAACGTGTACTACACGAAACAGCTTATATTTAAAGTAGTAAAATACGCTCGGCCACTCTGGGGCGCGGATAAAAAAACCAACTTCAATGAGCTTTGCTTCGCAATGCTTCTCCCAGAAAGCGCCGGCGTTAGGATGCCCGTCAAGGGCAAGAATCAAAGGGCAGACTGGGTCCTCATAGCCAGCATCGACCCATGCATGCGGCCACTGATCCTTCGGAAGACGCACCCAAGTAGTGGGACCCAGCAGTTGGGTGTAAGCGGATTTAACTTGCAGCGCATGTGCAGGCAACATGCTGTACGCATCACACATCTTGCCTGCTGCCGTGGGCGCCGGACACGAGGTTGCTTCGGAAAACATGGCCCAGTGATTCGCCTGGCACCCCTCAAAGACAACTTTCCCTTTGTACTTCCGATTAGGATTCTTTTCTACACCTATGCCAAACATATTCCTACATGAACAGTCTTACCGTTGGCTCGCGCTTCGGCGGCAACTTTCTTCCATTTCCGAACGCGTAGTTCATCCCAACACTTCAATTTCCGGAGCTTAGTCCGCTCCTTCAGGAGCAGCACGCGCTTTGGCATTACCTGCTTGCTCCTTCTTAGTCACTGGTCTTGCAACACACGCATCGAAAGGAGCTATTCCACTATTGTTAGGTTGATGTTCCGAAGCCTTGTTCGATCTGGGCATTGGGGCTTTGGGGAATTGTGTCCCCGTTGAGTCCTGTGGCGGGACCGGCAGGATACCCGCCGGCGCTGCCGAAACCATTTGGCCCACGGTTACGTCGGGTTGTTAAACAGTTTTTTTGGTAGTATCAACTCTCATCACTTCCTCAAGAATGAGCTGAACTATCCTGTCTCCGGCCTAAACTCGAAGCTCAGAGTCAGGGTGATTGGAAAGCATCACTCTCACCTCAGCTCCTACGTCGAACTTAAATCTAATCCAGGAGTTTGCCGAGTCGGCAGAGTTGCAAAGCTGTTAACGATATGGACAAGCAGGGCACCCTCATCTCGTCTCCGTTCAGCCCCTAAAAGGTGCCGGGCACCCTCAATCCTGGCGCGCGCGTAGCCAGTCTCATGGCCACATGTCCGCCCTCTTAGCTCATTGGCTAGGTCAGGGCAAGAGGTGGCGATTCGCCACTGTTTCTTTATGGGAACGAACGCCGTCAGAAGTTTGCATTTTAAAGTCGCAACCATCTACATCGACACACTTGATATCAGGGTTGCCGAGTAGACGCTTCATGAAAGGTTGCTTCCAACCAAGGCAATGCCTCGGCCATTCAAAGGCAATTCTGCTGCCTTTAACAAGAACACGTTTGGCAACGCGAAGGAAGGCGGCAGCAAACATGACCAATTGCGAACTCAGGACCGTGCTGGGACAAGTTGAAGTGCTCTAAGGTCCACATGGGATTGAGACCCGCAGGTCGCTGTCAGAGTTTTGATCAACTGCTTCGATCAACCTAGTCATGTCTTTTATTCTTTTGGCGGGTGCGGCTCCGCCGGCACGAGATCTTCTTCCTTTTCGGCTTAGATGTATATCCTTCGCGACGCGACAGACATACCTCTCCAGTCTGCGGAAGAGATGGACTTGGGCTTGCCGGATCCTTCTGTTCATAATCAAGCTCGTCACTGAGTCACTGCGTGGCTTGGGTTCACCTGCGTCGAGGTCCTTGGTGTTATCGAGTCTTGCTTTAAACCTGTCTAGGATGACTCTGGGAGGTCCAGAATCCTTGGGTTCTGACTCGATGCCCAGCACCAACAACTCTCCTATCATCACGAATGCTTTGCTTCGTAGAACCAAGGTGTTTCAAGTGAGTTACGAAAAACACTTGCCTAGCATCAATGTGGTACCTGTGCCAAGACTTGGGTTCTTCGTCTCGAGCCCAATGATCCCTTTCAGAACCAACGACAGGCGCCTTGGGATCGCTTGCCGATCCAACACCAGATCAGGACCCAGATCAATAGCATCGGGCTGACCGTCCAGTTCATTTGAAGCATCCGCTTTAGGAAGACCCTTTCCCTCTCCTGTATCAAGGAGTTGGGCCTCTCTCGTTAATCGCTCATATGCGGCTCACATCGAAAACATGTATCCCTCTTCAGGGTTCCGCCAAATTCTTTTGACTTGGTAAACGCTGGGCCGAGTAAACCCGTTCCTGAAATGTTCGAGATCGGCAACGACGTAGTAGTCGCCCTTCCATTGACCTCCGGGCTCTAGAGGACTCTGACTACGAGCCCGATGGAGATGAAGAGTTAGTTGGGGAATCAGGGCTGTCCGATTTCGGGCCAGTGTCTAAGCCTGGGATTTTTCTAGGATATCGCCTAGTGGATCAAAGTCTTTGGGCTTCACGGTGAAGTACGTCTCGCCGGTCTACGGGGCTTTTAGATCGGTAGTGGCATCAGAACCATACCTCCAGTCCGCGGAGTGCAACAGTTCTCCGCTTTCTTTGTTACACTGGTTTGATGTGTACTCTGACGAGTTTGCCAGATTCTCCAAAGGTCCAGTGGTCTTTAGTGGGGTTTTCGTCAGCTTTGTGACCGTTTTCCCGTTCGGAGGCATTTTGCAGGCCCCTTTTTGAGCCTACACGGTTTAGCGGCGATGGGCTTGAAGTCAACAAGACATCCGAATGGGATTTGTTGACCCGAAAATCTCTGTCATCATTTCTTCTTCCCCACGCAGTCCCTTCACCTTGGTTTTCAAGGTTCCGAGCAGCGCAAAATGCGCAGACGGCAAAAGGCCACCACTTAGACGATAATCCTGCTTGTCTGAGGAGGACTCTTGCTCCAAGCTTCGCCTTGTTTTCGATAATGCCGTTAGTCTTCGGCCCACTGCAGGAGCAATTCCCTGTATCAGCTGTCCTCTTCTTGAGAGCAGTGGGGCGCTCCCCCAATGCCGTTCGGCTGCGCCAGCTTGGCGTGATCATCAATGCACGGCCTGGGGCCATTGCGGCGCCTCTCGCGGGTGCGCTCAGGCGCGCCTTCCTCACATAGCTGTTCTAGCTCCGCTGCCAGTGTCAGTGGCTGAGTGCCGCTGCTCCCTGTTTTCCACTTCCGCTGAGCTTTGTCAAGGTCAGCCAGCTTTCTGCCAGCTCGGATCTACATGTAGCGATCACCACTGCAAAGTGGCCTTTCGGCAAAAGGAGCTCCTACAATGGAGCCAAAATGCGTAGGGTAGCAAAAAAGCCGTGCTATGCACATGTGTTTCACCTCTCATGGTTAATAAACTGACATTGGGAATCATGACTGTTGTGTCAATGTGCATCATGTCCCATCCGGGCCTGATATTGTACATGCCCTCCTGAACGTTTATGACAAGCCAAGGTGCCGTTCGCACAACCTTCTCGCCCAAAAAGTTGCGGATCTCGATCGTCTGCAAGCCAAACAAGGAAACAGAGCGCATGCACTGTTCAGATGAAGTCGGAAAGGCGCTTCACATGTTGCACATGTTCACGAAGCTGATGTGACGTCTAGAAGAACTGCTTCCAACGGACAGTGAGGCGACCAAAACATGCGTTTGCTGCTGGCGCCTTTCCGCCATTGATGATGTTGACGTTGATGGGAAAGTGCGCGTAGACCAAACGCAACTTGTATTCGAACTTCTTCTGCACGCCCTGCATTTGCAAGTCTGACCTCTCTCCACAATGCCATGCAGCATGATGCCATCAGTGCTAGTGACATCCACAGCCAATATACAAACTCATCGACAATCATCAGCAAACAGAACCCCCTGTGGTGCCTCGAAGAGGTTGCTGATGTGGCTGCAGACCTCAAACACGGCACAATGGCGCCAATGCATGATGTCTCTGTCGAAAGTGGTTTGGCAACTTGCCCAGAAGATGAAAATTGTCCATAGCCATCACCCACAGCACTCCGGTACGAAGCCCATGGCTAAGCTCCGGGCCGTGTTCAGCATGGAGCACTGCTTGGACTTTGCGAAGTACATCCGTGCCACGACCTGTACGCCGCTAACGGACACGCTGTCTCATGCCTTGTCGCCGGGCCTTCTTGCCGCCATCTGCAAGGAACAGCTCGATGGGCAAGTGCTTGAAGTCTCGCTTCAGGTCGCCATGCTTGCCCTTGACCTGCCAACCCCTGCGCTTGGTCCCATCCTAAGCCCTAAGACAACCGTATGCCATCATGGCTTCACGCGAAGCTCTACCAAGCAAGATGACGCATTCACAGCTCCCTTTTTCCCGATCGCAGTAAGACTGATGTGCACTTATGCCTTCAAAGCAAGAAGGCGCCTCCACCTGCTTGGACTTGATGGAGATTTTGACGCCTGACAGATCAAATTGTAGGGACACAAGTACAGTCAATCTTGTTGTTTTCCGCAAGCCCTGTGCAACATACCTTCGAAACTTCAGAACCATGCCCCTCGCAGGTGGTGAGCTGTATCTCCCAGCAAGATGTTGATGCGCTTGAAAAGACAAACACGCCTCCAACACACACACACACACACCAATAACCAGCCAACAAGATATATATATATATAGATATATCAAGGCTTGCTTCGTGCCGTCGCGGAAGCCTGAACAACTTCCCTGACCATGAGCCCATGCAAATTCTCCATCCCCAGCGAATCTGGCGACACGGAGACTCGGCTTGATCTGCTAGGAGATCTGAGGTTCACTATGTGCAGCCAAGATTCCCTTGGGCACCTTGAGTGTCTCCTGCAACGCTCACCACACATGTCTTGAGTGTGAGTCTTTGAGACAAGAAGCTGGGCGCATTCCTATCGATCACTAAGTCACACAAATGGAAAGCATTTCCTTTTGGCAAACCCTTGTGCCCTCTACTTCTGCCACGGTTTGCAACACCATGTATGCCGCTGCAGAAACTCCAATCCCACCCGAGCCTCAGTCAGCAAGGTTCTCATGGCCTCAGCATGTCAGGCCTGTGCTGGCCTGGGGTCTGTTTGGGGAGCCTGTCAAAAAGCAAGCGATACGAGCGGAATTGAGAAGAGCACTCAAGCATTCCGAAACAAGCAAGATGGCTACATGTCGAATGACTGTTGTCAGCAATTCATTGCACAATAGCCACCGAACAAGCAACTTAGAGATTGTAAGGCTTAGGATCTTCTCTATCCGAGTGACCAGGCTGAGGCTTCGCCAAAAGACGGCCAAATGCCGAGACTTTTGGGCCAAAAGCCTATAGAGCCGGCGGTTCACGCGCTGACGCATAACTCAAAGTTTGACCGGCAATGGCTGCCTTCAAGCTTCTACAAAGCCAACCCCTAGGTTATCCAAAAAAAGGCAATCGTTGACAGCTTCCAGGATGGGTGAATATGACTATGCGCACAAGGAGATTAACACATATACGCATCGATCGCTTCTCCCTCGCGCTTTCTCCCTCTCTCTCTCTCTCCCTATCTATCGATCGATCTATCTATCTATCTATGTGCTAGATGGATATATGAAATATCCACTACACTACACTCGCATATTCGTACACACTGGTGTACATACAAACTGATATACGCATATATGACATGCACAAAAAAGATATATAGTATACATATGTATGTATAGGACCACTAGTACTGGTACTAGAATTGGTACCAGTACTAGTAGTGGTACTAATGCCTGCAGCACCAGCAGCAGCAGCCGCAGTTGTAGTGGTATTTGTAGTAGCAGCAGTTGAATTACACTGATGTAATAACAACATGCGATACAGACATGTTATACAGTTGTAGCAATCGCCGTGCAAATCAGATCTACAAACAAACACGCTTATGTTTTGATGCAAGCCAAACAAATCATGGACAAACCGCTGCGATCCCCCACATACGACAGCATAGCATTCAAACACATCGGTGCAACTGCGTCCAGGCAGTGGCCGGAATCGCCACAACTCGCGACAAACGCTCAAAGTTGAATGTACGTTTACATTGGCCATGTTTGAAGCATCGAACAAATGAATATTATGTCTTACTATGACATCTGAGACATTCAACTAATTATATGTCTGAGTCAGACTAATTCATTCTCATTCCCACAATATAGGCATTCCCACAGGTCCAAACATATTTTGTTTGATGCATCCGCAGCTATCCGCATACGTATTGGAGGCTCAGTCTCAGAATCCATCTTTTCAATTTGATTTCATTTCCGCCCCAGCCAGCAAAGGTCGCAATCTGCAAGCTCCATCTCAAGCCCATCAAGGGCGGCCTCACTCCTGCCATTGTGATCGGGTGAATCTGAAACTGTCTCACGGCAATTCCCAATTTCTAGTGCCCCCTCTCTCTCTCTCTCTCTCTCTTTTTCTCTCTCTTTCTCTTTCTCTCTTTCTCTTTCTCTCTCTCCCTCTGGGATTGCAAGCAAGTTCTCAGATGCCAAAAGAAAAACAGCTGTGATTTCTGCCTCCTTGACACCATGGGAGCTGACGTAGATGCCGTCCAAGAACTTTCGGATATCCTTCTTCTTGCACAGGCAGGACCTAATGCAAACACTGAATCGCCGGATGTTCAATGGTTTGAAAGGCACTAGATCTGTAGTACTACTTTCATCCATGACAAGGCAGCCACCTCTCAACTCAGTTGGTCCGCACTGGCTTTGCGCTTGGGAGGCCCAACGCCAATGTAAAACAAATGCTCAGCTTCGGGACTCGCTAAAAACAGGGACTCGCTACAAAAATTGGGACTCGCTTCTTGTTTGACCGAGGGGCTGATGGATCAGCGCTGAGGAGCGGCCGCAAAGCTCGATGTCGGAGCCGGACACTACAATCTCGTCCTGGCTCCCGCAATGCAGCGCAAGAGGGCAGAATTCAGGGGAACCCTTAGCAATGTCCATGGCAAAGGCTGAGCCTCAATGCTCGTGGCAAGCATCATGCAATAGCTGCTAGCTTGGATCAGCAAACTAAGATTGCTCACATGAATGGAGGTTGACACTGTCATGACAAACTATAATCACTTACATACCAACATCATGATCATGTATTATCTGTGTTTGGCGACTAAGGAGACTTGGCCGCATGATTTTGCAATCTAAATCATCTAGGCTCATGCTGTCAACGACGGAGATAGCAAAGCTCCCCGGGCATGACAAAAACAAAGCAAACTCGCGCGCAACATGAATTTGAGCTGGTGCTGGCTTCTCTGTGCAACATCCAAGCAACGGCCCAACAACCATAGCCATAAGAAACGAACCGGGGCCGTAATGCAATATGCATCACACCTGCAGGACAGATCGGAGCCTGGCGGCATATCAGCCAACAACCCTGCAATCAATGTTTGTTGCTCAAAACATTGTCAGGAACTTGTGCCATCTGTAGCGAAAGTGAATTCCTGCTTCAAACACGTGCCAGCCATAGCGTCTGATTGGTTCTGCTTGGTTCATGTCTCCTTCAACAGCCTTGTGACATCTTGGAGACCTGGCCTTCTCAGAAAACTTCCAACCCTGTCACACCTCTGTGTTCGAAGAACTTACCATCAATCGAACGTGCTGGCACCCCGTTGACATTTCAGAAAGCAAAGGGAACCGGATCTGTCAGAACCACTGGGAATTCCCACATCTTAGGCCCATCACAAATGGCTATGCACAACGCCGGAAAGGCTCCTTGGTGGACGAGCTCTTCTCCACAGTCACGCCGGGCAGCATGTGCACCTCGCATTTTGAATCTCGGCACCACAAGCTCATAGCTTGGTTCCACCGTGGTGTCCTAACTTGTGGAATCTCGGCGCGCAAACTTGGCAATTGGGGAACTGCATGTCTTTGACCATGCTAAGAGCAAGCTGAATGAATGATCCTGTCGACAAATTTAACAGCCTATGCTGTCCCTGTAAAAGTGTTTGACTTGATTAGTTCAGGTGACCAGTGCTGGAACCTGGATGGGCGCTTATGAGACACGACCAAGGTGCGTAAAGCACAAAGGACTAGCATGTGTCGTGAATTGTGGGGTGTCCTAAATGGCCTGCCATGTTCAGCCACGAGTTCGGGGGGCAGAGTTTATAATATGGGTCGCCTTGCTTGACCTTATCACTATTGTTTATCAGCGCGAAGTCAGGCTGGACCATTTGCATGCAAAGCCAAGGTCGTTTGTGCTGCTCGCAACGGTTTGCTGGATCGTATGTACAACTGGGCGTGTGTCAAAATAGGGTGGACCCCCAAAATAGTGGCTTTCCTTTGGCTTCCCTTCAAACAAACCCCACCCTCAAAAAACACTAACCCAACTGGACAGAGGAGCGTGAACTGAAGCTCCCTCGCAAATCTGACAGCTGAGGTGCAGTTCGCACCACCTTCTCGCCCAGGAAGTTGCGGATCTCGATCGTCTGCAAGGCAAGCAGCGTGCAATCAAACAATTGTACCCATTTGGGGAACCCTGGTAAATGGAAATATGAACTACAATCTGCGGTCCCCTGGTGATTCAATTTTGGCCCTCACGCAAATAACAAAGCTGAAAGGTTCTTCGCGCAAGGCTTTAGATGCTCAAGCAGCCGATGTGACGGCAAGCTGTTCCATGGAGATTCAGAAAGCCTGTGTTGCATCAAGAAACACGAAGGTGAATGGTGACCGGAATGGTGGGCTGCTTTCAGCCGTCAGCCATGACCTGAACAGCCAACGCTGGTGGTGCCTTCCCGCCATTGATGATGTTGACGTTGATGGGAAAGTGCGCGTAGACCAAACGCAACTTGTATTCGAACTTCTTCTGCACGCCCTGCATTTGCAAGTCTGACCTCTCTCCACAATGCCATGCAGCATGATGCTATCAGTGCCAGTGACATCCACAGCCAATATACAAACTCATCGATAATAATCAGCAAACAGAACTCCCTGTATTGCCTCGAAGAGGTTGCTGATGTGGCTGCAGACCTCAAACACGGCACAATGGCGCCAATGCATGATGTCTCTGTCGAAAGTGGTTTGGCAACTTGCCCAGAAGCTGAAAATGCAATCTGGATCAAGAAGTGCAATCCGGAAGCGCAATCATTGTCCATAGCCATCACCCACAGCACTCCGGTACGAAGCCCATGGCTAAGCTCCGGGCCGTGTTCAGCATGGAGCACTGCTTGGACTTTGCGAAGTACATCCGTGCCACGACCTGTACGCCGCCAACGGACATGCTGTCTCATGCCTTGCCGCCGGGCCTTCTTGCCGCCATCTGCAAGGAACAGCTCGATGGGCAAGTGCTTGAAGTCTCGCTTCAGGTCGCCATGCTTGCCCTTAACCTGGCAAATAGAGTGGGCTGCTCATTTACTTTGTTGGACAAGGCCGGATGTACACCACTGGATAGATCATATTCAATCATACATACACAGGAACACACACACAAACACGCTAACAAACACACTGACACAAACAAACACACAAACGATCCAACAAACACACAAACAAACAAACAAACAAGCAACACAAACAAGCAAGGAAGCAGGCACACAAACAACACAAACAAAGACACCAAACAAAAACACACAACTAACAACAAGCAGTTGCACTTACACAAAACAAACCATAACACAACGGAACAATCCAACACGCGGCAGGCCGGCCGGCA